TTTTTATCATTTAATATTAAATAATTTGGTATATTTATATATATATAGCATAAAATATTTTAATACAAAAGCATGTATCTTATATTATTAATAAGAATAACATATTTAGAACAGTTTTTGCGAATAAAAAAGAATCTAAAGAAAATTGTATCATAAAATAAAATAATTAACCGACAATTTTGGGAAATATGAATCACATTTTCCGGTCATTCTCGGATATTACACGAAAGATATGAAAAAAAATTCTCGACTGCGTCAGTGATCCGAGAAAATGTTGGTGGAGGGGCCGAACGGACAATCAACAGAGTGATGCAGAGGTGATGGTGGTACAAGGGGACGAACAATTCAGAGACCTCGTGATCGTTTCTATATAAGAGTACGTGTCATGTCAACTAGAAGAGGTATTCTCTCTTAGTCCGCCGATAACTAAACTTAAGGTCACGCTGGATACAGAAAACACGTCGCCTGTTGTTTGAGTTGCGCCGCGATAAAGAAGAACCGGAAAATAAACCGGAATAACCGGAATAAAAGCGTTAAATGAAGAAAAAGAGAATCGGGAGAAACGATAAAAAAAATAGCGAAAATTAACGAAAAGTGCGTGCTCCTTTCGGAAACCATTGTCGAATGGAGCTGAAGTGTTTGGCCGAGGAACAAAAACGTATATACGAGTGAAAGGGAATCGGAATTGTTATATTTCGACAATCTCTGATAGTGCGAGCAACAACGTAAAAGTGTTACCTATTACTGACGTTGTTCATTGTCAGAAACAAATAGAAAATCGGAAAAAACAGAGTGATAAGGTGAGTGAGTGCTGATATGATAAACAAAATGAACAAAATGCTATTTATAGATATGTTAGACAATAGAAAATTATAATATAAAAAAAATAATTTTTATTTTCATAATACGATATGGACAATAAATGTAAGTGCTTACTTAAAAGTCAAATATTTCTCTTAGGAAGTTTTTGGGATATTTACTTTTAAAATATTTAAATCAAGCATTTCTCCGTGCGACAGTTAAATAGATCTGTAACATTTAAAAATTATGAAAAAATTTATCATATTTTGCAGATTCATTTTTTTAATTTCAATTAAAATTCCTACTTATTATTTAAAATTAGAGAATAACATAATCTTTCTTCTATTTAATTATTTTGTATAATAAAAATATATTGCGAATTTGAATAATATAATTGTATTTTACTATATGCAAGATAATACATATTGATATACTACAGAAGGTAGATTTATACATTTAAAATATGTAAAACTGTATGATCACATAAATTCTGTCATTTTTGAAAAAACATTTAAAAAAAGAATATCTTTTTACACAATATTAGATAATTGTCATAATTTGTAACAATTTAAAAAGTCTAAATTTTACAAATTTCGAAATAAATTTTTTAATTGTCTCACATAATAAAATATTACTTAATATATATCAAATTTATCAGAAAAATTTTTTAGAAAAGATACATCAACTATATTATAATTCATAATTGCTTCTTGCTAAATTATATGAAATCTATATATAAAATATTAATTTCTACTTGATATGAGTATAAAAAATACTAAAATTCTATACAAATCATTTCCTTATGTTTTTAATAAAGATTCGATGTTAGAAATTATAATGTTAAAATTTAATTTGACCTAATACCTTTTATGATTTATTAATGTTAACGTTATTAGAGCGAGACAACACGCTTGAGCAATCAGAACTAAGTTTCACGTACAACATACTGTTAGAGTTGCGTTATAATCAATTTATTCGTCTATCACTTATTTAAATAATCTTAAAACATATTTAGGACTTGAATAACATATAATACTCAAACTAGATTTAAAAAAAAATATAAATAAAAAAATTAAGCTTGTTAGAAATAAAGAAAATTATTTTCATTTTATCAGTAACTAAAAAAAAATTACTCAACGCTAATAATATTAATATGCTAATAATAATAATATTAATATTGTTGATATAATTTTCATTAAGACAGACATTAGGATGATATTGATGAGTTTAGTTATCACAATTTAATTATCAAGACAAGAAATTAAATTATTAATTTTAATAAAATTTTGCTTTTATATTTAAACAGTATCTTGGTATATCGTGATTAAATGGCTATTTTCCTCGTTTTAAATCCAATAATGCTTGCGTATTAACAGCACTGAATATGTAACAAGTACAACATAAATATCATACGTGTGCATGCCTAGATAACCTTCCTTTGAATTTCTTTTTCCTTTATCGATTCAAAATAAGAACATTGCGGAATTCGGATGACTCCTTTTTTTCTTCCGGTAGCAAGACGATACATTTTCATATGTACAGAAACTTGTATCCACGTGTAAAGAGACAGTTGTCACTGTTTTCCAAAGATCTTATGTACTGATTTATCTCAAGAGATACAAACTATTTTTTTTATCATATAAATATTGTACCTTGGAAATATATGGTCACTATTGTAATCGTTTTCGTAAAAATTTTAACTATTCGATTAATTCTAATGCAAACTCTGTTGATATTGTAAAAAATGTAAAAACATTAATTTTATAGTAATAATTAAGAGAAAAAAATTAAGAGAAAAAAGTCACTATTATTATTTTTATGATAATTATGTTGTTGAGGTAATCACTAAACAAAATTAATTTTATTAAATTAATACTATCAACTTCAGCGTTTCAAATAGTATTTAAAAAAGACTTCGTCCTCTAAAGCATTAATATGTATTTATAAATTATTAATAAATTTGCTTCAATTATATAATTTCCATTTTAAACTAATTTTCAGATCTGTGTTAACCATACAAGACAAGAAGTTACAATTTTTTTTAAACATTTGAGAATGGGTATTTTGCAGCAGCAATCGATCTTAAAAGGTCAACAGACAGGAAGGAATCGGGAAGAAGATTTAGTACATGAATTGTTCGGTCGTGCAGCAAAAGCCCATCCGAGTCAAACCGCAATATATTACGAAGGTAAGATTTTACTTTTTGACATAATGTAATAAAAATTATGTCGAAGAAATGGCACAGGATATGATTTTTGATAATTTGATTGAAAATTCTGTTAAATAACATCTGTAATAATGCGAAAATTATATCAAAAGAAAATCTACATTTAAATATTACTGGAAACTCATACAGATGAAGCCGGCCAGGAATTCGCTTTATCTTTTGAAGAATTGGATAACATCACCAACCAATTGGCACGAGCTTTACAAAAATACGAAAAACCTGAAACAACTTCTCAGTCAATAATAGCTGTCTGCATGAAACCATCGCATCGCCTTCCAACTGTGTTGATTAGTATACTGAAAGCAGGAATGGCTTATCTACCTTTGGACGCGGAATTTCCCATGTCTAGAATGAAACACATTCTCGAAGAGGCGCAGCCGTTATTAATATTAGTCGAGGAAGAAGGTAAAAAAATCATAAAAAATATCTCAAAGTAGATTTAAGAGATTTAATTTCTCTGAATTGAATTTTATGTAATTTTTTATCTGATTTTTAGTCATTTATTTATTTTTAATTCAATCTTTACTTTTTATATAATCTTAACGCAATATTAATCTAAAAAAATATGAAGAATTAATTAAACAAAACGCAACAATGTTTTGCAATCATTAATCTTTTAGCAATAGTTTTAATCTAAAGTTGTTAATTTTAAAATCCATACAATGATTTAATCTTAGCAAATGAGCAATTCGTTGTTAGTTATAAAACTACTCCGTAAACAGAAAAAAATTTGCTGCTCCAATTTAAACAAACAGAAATATTGTCACTACATTTAAAAATATTGCAATTAATATTACAATTTTACAATTTTAAATATTACTATAAATTTTAAGTTTAATTTCCTTAATAAAATCAAAATAACCAAGCGTAATATTACATTTTCATCTTACTTTGTATATAATTATATATAATAAAATTGTATATAATTGATATATATTATATAATTGTATATAATTATATATAGTTATATATAACTATATGTAACTATATATTTTAATATAATAATTGCATGGTATTGATTTATTATTATTTATTATTATTTTATATCAATGTATGAGATTTGCTAAAATCTCATAATATTTCTCATTATTAATTCAACATTCTATTACAGCAGCAAATTATTAATTACTGTCGATCAAAGTCGATGCAAAGTCGCATCTATGCATTTGCTTTGAATTCGCTATAAAGCATATGATAATAAATTCGATAAGCGTGAGATATCTACGTAATAATAATTTTTTGCTACAATTACGTGATTTTTCGCGGAAGATCGTATATATTAATATATATTAGTTTGTTCTTACCAGACTTAATAACTCTACTTTGAAGGTGAACATGGATCATTTCAAAACAATCTGCTCAACGCGGAACATTTTATTCTTCTGTCGGCCATAAGTGCCCGCAAAAAAACCTTGAGTTTTTGCGCCTTATTTTGATTAGATATAGTTGAGGATAATTGATTTCTTCCGCTTCTATTTTTCCTTTAACGTGTGTAGTTAAGTAAAAATAAAATTTCAGCGAGTTTATCGATTTGTGAAGGAGCTTCGGTATTGACGTACGAACAGCTTTTGAAAGAAGCCAAAGAAGAACAAAAGGATGCATTAAAAGTTAAGGAGAGGTCAAATCAACTCGCTATCGTTCTTTATACTTCTGGAAGTACAGGAATTCCCAAAGGTAATATATTACACAATCATACTAATTATATAACGTATAGAAAGTATGATTTAAGGCGAGATTCGTGAATTTTCTTAAAATTTGCAACTTCATATTCTTACAATTTGGTAAATTTATCTATCATTACTTCTATTATAAAAAGATATTAATCTAATTCTAACTGTAAAAAAAATAAAATAAAAAAAGACATTTGTTGCAAATTTAATTTGAAATATAATTTGAAAGTGCATAAATGTGTTTATAATATAATATCATCATTTATCTTGTTAAAGGTGTGCTTATACCGCATGCTACTCTCTTGAATCGTTTACAATGGCAATGGAGAGAACTTCCATACGCTGACGATGAAGAACGGTGTGTTTTTAAGACTTCTCTTACTTTCGTCGACAGTGTTCCTGAAATTTGGGGATCGCTTCTACAAAGCCGTACTCTTATAGTTGTGCCGAAAAGCGTGACAAAAGATCCGCAAAAGTTCATACCGCTCTTAGAAAGGCATAAGGTAAAACCTCTACTAATTTCTCATATATAATTATAATAATATAAAGCGTTTCAGAAATTCAAAAACTTTTTAACTTATGAAAGAGATTATTATAAGTGAAATGTTATCATAGATTCTATTTTAAATAAATAATTATAATAAGATAATTACAAAAAAATTGAAATTTTAATATTTTGTAATAAAATTAATTATCGTATTTGATATTTTATAGTATATTTATAATATATAGATATTTTATAGTATATAGTATATTTATAGAATTTGCACACGTATAAAACCAAATTTATTTCATTTCATTAAAAAGCACTAGCTTAAGTTTAAATGATTATAAAAATGAATAAAGTTTTATGATTTTTTTGCATTAAATATAGCATTTATATTTTTCATAATTTTTACGGTGGATATAATTTCATATGATGCGATTAATAAATTTACATCAATTTGAAAATGAATGAATATTAACAGTTTTATTTTTAAATAAAACCAATTAAAAATTTTATAAAGTTTTTTATCTTCTATCACATAATTCACATGTAAATCACGTATGCGTGAATTACGTATAATTTAACTTATAACAAAGAAAAAAATTATCTGTGTTTCAGATACAACGCTTAGTCCTTGTGCCTTCGTTACTGCATTCAATGCTTATGTATTTAGGTTTGCAAGTGAGTATATATATACAGATATATTCCACGTATAATTTACTATATTTATGCGATAGGTAAATCTGTCATTACGTAAATTTCTTAGAAATTTTAATCTTGACTTTACACAACGTCATACGAAAGGTTAAGAATTGCTCTTTCCCTTTAGTCCCTGACTATTAAATAAATGGATTCTCTTCAATATCTCGTGACGATAATCAATCTAACTACATATGAAATATATCAATGATAAGACATAAAATATATAGACGTATTACTTTAACATTTGCTAAAAGATTTTAAACAACCTTGCACTTTTGGCATTTCGATAAAGCAATTCAATTTATTCGCGATAGTCACGCTTAAGTAAATTATACGTCTATGCAGAGCAATATATTTGGATAAATAAAAATAAGTATTTTTTTTACGATTCGACGACTTTCAGATTCAATATGTCAGCTTTACAATTTAAAAAATTCTTCTATAAATTATGTATCATACAATGCAGATTACAGATGTCCGATTGAACATGTATTTAGTAAAAATGACGTAAACGGTCAAGCTATTTTTATTACTATATACTTATCCTAAATGACTTAGAAAATTTTTATGTCTTTATAATTCATAGTTTTCATGCAAAATTTGCATTGAATAATGAGAACATAATTTCTATATAACGTTATCGCAACTCGAGATATACTTGTTTTACGATTTGTACGATAAGAACTTTCGTTACCGCCTACTCTCTTGCATACCTTGAATGGTCTAATGGTCTGTTGTCACTTCTCACAGGATAATGGCAAGGTTCTTGATCGCTTGAAACTCTGGATCTGTTCCGGAGAAACTTTGTCGGTCGCGTTGGCTGACCAGTTTTTTGCCACATTTAGCGGCAAAGACAAAATATTAGCTAATTTTTATGGTAGCACAGAGGTCATGGGAGACGTTACGTATTACTTGTTAAATAAACGTACACAATTACAAGGGATGGAGAAAGTGCCAATCGGTAAGAATAATTTTCATTCGCTCAAAAAATGAAAAAGAAATACCTCATCCTTGATGAAATAATTAAAAATTTATTAGATTGTTATCGAAAGCAAATAATAATCGCAAACAACATTTATATGGCCTTCTATCTTTGTTACAGGAAAGCCGATCGACAACTGCATAATTTATCTTGTGAACAAGGACATGCGACTGGTCCCCGAGGGGGAAGTCGGAGAGCTGATCGTAGCTGGAAGAAATCTTGCCGCAGGTTATATACGCGGACGAGACACACATAAATTTTTGGACAATCCTCACGCCAACGAGCCAGGTGAGAAAATAAAATAACATGAGATCGAATGTTGAGACGCTCCGAACGTGAAGAATTCACTTACAAATTCTCCCTTTCGTAATTTTAATTTTTCTCGAACAAAAGCGACGTAAAAAATAAAACCATAATTTTCTTATTACAAAGAATTATTATTTGTTATGTGTTTCGGCATGTAAAAATGTCTGATTTATCTGCAGAATATTCAAGAAGTTTTCGTACGGGTGACTATGCTAAAATTGTTAAAGACTCGATAGTTTTTGAAGGACGAGTGGATTCGCAGATTAAAATTAGAGGTCACCGTGTTGACCTCACAGAAGTTGAAAAGATCGTCGCCAGGATATCCGGTATTGATAAAGTCGTAGTGCTTTGTCACAAGCCTGGGGAATTATCACAGGTAAATATTTCAACACACATTATACATTCAACGTTCATTATATTTAATATGAAATGTAATTATATGCTAAAGTTTACAAAAATTATTTATTTTACAATCTAAATATAAAAAGATTAGCGTTAAAGCTCTGAACAAGCACATATATTAATCTTTCTAAATATTTATCGTTTTAAATATAAACTCAAGTTTTAATACTTCTGTTGATTATTTTACAAGATAAATTTTATATTTTGTCTTTTCAGGCATTACTGGCCTTTATCACTATTGCAAATGATGCAAATCTATCCAGTTCAGAGATCGAAGATTTCCTTCAAAAGACATTACCGCCATATATGTTGCCGCAGATTTTTATTGTTGATCATATACCACTTTTAACTAATGGAAAAACAGATCGACAGACATTGCTGAAGAAATACGAATTATCTTATTCTAATCATGGTATGTTAAATCAGCAATTTTATTTATTGCTTTCATTAAAAGAAATGCACAGTGTCTGCTTGATTAAATAATGCGTTGACATAATTATTATTTAACTTTATTATAGATAACTTTATTATAGCTAATTATGTGCTATTTTATCTTTTATACATAAAAATGGAGGTTCGTACTTGTAAGATTATTAGAAGTTTACCATGGCATCGAATTACTAATCTATTAAAATAAAACCGATTTATGAATATTTATTTTCTTCCTTTCTGTTTTAACACACTGTATTAACATTGCTCTATATTTCAAAAGATTAGAATAATCTTTCCAATTTCTTTTTATGAAACATGATATGAACTGAACATAAAATTAAAACAAAATTGATTTTACTTTATAGCCTATTTTTTATTAAGTAATTAAATTCTACGTATTTTTAGCAACTTCTAATTTTCGCATTAAAATTAAAATAAGTTTCTTTTATTAAGAAGGAATAAGAAAAAATTACAATATTTTCAATAATTAATATTTCATTAATATCTAGAATAAGCTATAATTCAATTTCTTTTATATATAAATGTTTTATAAATAAACGAAAAAAATCTCCTAATGTTATCAAAAATTTTGTTCCACAGAAGATGATATTGCCACGAATTGTGATTACACTGGCGTACCAAATCAAGATCTTGCAAAAGCTCGTGTTCTCTTTCCGACCATCGCGTCCGTAATCGGACGTGGTGATCGCGCACCGGTAACGTTACATGCGAATTTCTACGAACTTGGCGGAAATTCCTTAAATTCCATTTACACAGTGACCAAGTTAAAAGACCAAGGTTATCAGATCGGCATCACGGATTTTATCATGGCAAAAAATCTAGCCGAAGTACTAAATCGGATGAAGCCCATATCATCTGATGAGGAATCTCCGAAGGAAGTTATTGACCAAAAAGCGTATATTTTTGAACCATTAAACGACTGTCATAAGGAGGATGCCATCAAGTGAGTGTCATATAAAAATCAGGCTAAAATTTATAATTATCGTGTTACGTGTATACAAATGCAAACAACAAGTGGGAATAAACATTTATCAAAATTTATAGAATGATCACGGATAGCTTTTATTCGAAAGCCGATTTGGAGCAATGGTTAATGCCGGACATAACAAGAGCCGATTATCGGGAACTGATGGAGACAATGTGGGATTTTCTCGTGGAGAAGAATATTAGTTTCGTGATGAAGTCGGCGCAAAGTGGCAAAACAATCGGAATTACTCTCAATTTTGATCTTTGGGACGAGCCCGAACTGATACTAAAATCTAAATTAATGATCGTTTTCGATTTTCTCGAGTTTCTGGAGGGTCCGATCAGAGATTCCAAATTGCCAAAGGGTAAAGGCCAGATTATTCACAATTCTATGACGGCGACGAATAGCGAGTTGACTCCCGCAGAAAATGTAATTGTAATGAGACAGATGGAAGACTACTGTTTGCAGCTCGCTAAAGAAAAAGGGTATTCTGGAATTTTTACCACAAACACCAGTCCGCTCACGCAGGTAAACAATGAATCTAATCCTTTTGATGTCAAATTAATTGATGGCATAGAAAATACAAATATAAAATTTTATAAAATTCTTGGCTTACATTTTCTTACATAAATTTTTTGTACAGCAACTTAGTACGGACGTATTCGGTTATGAAACAATGTTGGTGTACCAAGTGAACAAATATATGACACCTGATGGATATAAACCTTTTGGCAAGGCTCCAGACAGCCAAGTAGCAATTTGTTCCTTGAAAATGGTTAAATAGAATAATTTTTTTATAAATAGCGCAAAAAAATATTAATATCGAATAATATGAACATTAACTGTCTTATCATCTTCATTCTGATCTGTCATAATAGTTTCAATTCATTGTAATAATGCTGCTTTTCATATCTCTTTATTATTTACTGCAAATACTTTCAATCATAGAAGCAATATAAAATTGTGCGATGCAATAACTAAACAATCATCACTATTTGTCAGAATTGTTTGTAATTTGATTATTGTTGTTTTGTTATTGTTTCATTTTCTTTTCGTAAGCAAAAATGAGTTTTAAGTTTATTTCCTTTAGTCTAAGAAATTATTTTAATTATTTATTTAGCTATTAATTAAAAATCCACAAACAACGTATTTATAATACGTGATAAGAATATTCATAGTTGGTTTTTTAAAATATTAAATCATTGTTAATATTATTTCATCATATAATTAAAAAATAGTATATTTTAAATAATAGTAAGCAAGAAATATTTTAAAAAGTATTATAAAAAAGCACAAATCTATGATAACTTATAAATTATTTTTTTAAATATCATTAGAAAATAAATAGAGTTATATTTTGTTATATTGTAATAATGTACAAACACAAGTACAAAACACAGATTATTCAGGCGTTTTAGTTTATTTTACTTTGCATGAAGAATGATAAATATACAACAACAACAACAACTCCTAAGCAGCGCATATCAATTGGCAAATTATTAATTAATCCTTGGCAATATTGATTAATCTTCGATTCATGATTAGCACAATATATGCTGCTTAGGCTTGGCGATTATAAATGATCTAAGTGATATAATTATAAGCTTGTATATATTTTTTGTAAATACATATGTAAATACGATAATAAACACATATAACAATTATAGCAGCTTTAAATATTGGAATAATTTACGGTTATATTTTACGCTTCAAAGTCGTTGTTGCATAATCGAAGAGCCACATTGTTACGTAAATATTTAATTGTATATACTATGTAATATTATACGAATGCAAAAAAATATTATGTAATAGTAATTTATATTAACTGTTGGATCTAAATTGTTGTAAGAAATAGATAAATACGAAAACTTAAACATTGATTAATATTGCAAAATTGTTACATGTGAATTTTGACTTTATAAACGAAATGTGCAATAAAGACGGAATAATGAAATAAATAAAAAAAATTTAATTCTGACGATTATGTCTATTATTCAATTCTATTTATTATTCAACATTTTCTGTTAATTATATTTATCAAATGAGTAATAAAATGAGCAAATACTTCGAACAATTCAGTATTAATTATGTATAAAATATTAAAAGTTATGCACATTACATATTATTCAAAAGAAGAAGAATTACTGGTTTAAAAGTATTTACTTTTCAAAATAAGTATTACAAATGTAGCTATAAGCTTAATTTAAACAATATATTCTCTGATAATTTTATTTAATATATAAATTGGTTTTGTTAAGATCTAAATCTCAGTAATTAAAAAATGTGTTTCTTCAATTTTGAAATATACAAGT